ATTTTATTTTTGACAACACAAAACCTTTTTGTTGACCAAACTCTTCTCAGTTCTGTGTCAAACAAAGATATTTGCTTAGTTACTAATAGTTCTCAAATCTCTTTACCTGTTTGCATAGGTTCTTGGAATAATATATTTGATGACATAGAGTGGAAAAAGTTTTGGCTTCTTCGAGAAAAAAAAAAAAAAAAAAAAAAAAAAAAAAAAAAAAAAAAAAATATATATATATATATATATATATATATATATATATATATATATATATATATATATATATATATATATATATATATATATATATAATAAAGCTGCTGGAGTAAATATTTATATTTGCTACACAATAAATACCAAATAAGCTTAATTTAATAACAATATTTCCCCTAAATAGCTGCACAGTGGCGCAGTGTGTAGTGCGTTCGCCTCACAGCAAGAAGGTCACTGGTTCGAGCATCGGCTGGGTCAGTTGGCATTTCTGTGTGGAGTTTGCATGTTCTCCCAGTGTTTGCGTGGGTTTCCTCAGGGTTCGCCGTCTTCCCCCACAGTCCAAACATATGCACTATAGGTGAATTGGGTAGGCTAATTTGTCCGTAGTGTATGTGTGTAAGTGTGTATGAATGTTTCCCAGTGATGGGTTGCGGCTGGAAGGGCATCCACTGCGTAAAAAAATGTGCTGGATAAGTTGGTGCTTCATTCCGCTGTGGCAACCCCAGATTAATAAAGGGACTAAGCCAAAAAGAAAATGAATGAATGAACAAATGTATTTCCCCAAAAATTGTGTTCTTTGGTTACACTCTGAACTTAGATCCTTCTCATTGTAAATTTATTAATTATTTATTGCTTTTTCTGTCTAAAGTTTACATTTATATACAGTATGTACATTTTGAAAGAGTGTGAACTCCTTAAAACTCTTTATATGTGAATAGACCTTAATAGAGTCTATTAATTATAGTACATGTAAAACTCTTTCTTGGTGTAAATCATTTAAACTTTTAGTTTGCTGAAATTTTATTTATGCAACCATTTTTGTATCTCTGTTCATATTGAATCTTAATAAATGTTCTTTCTTGCATAAAAAAAATAATAATAAAAAATTACATGGAAGCAAAACACCCCTCGCTCTGTCATTATTTTGACGAAGAAGCCACTGCAATGTTAATATGACTAAACATATTATTTATTTAGACATTATTTATATACAACAAGTAAAAAAATAAAAATAAAAAATTGCACAATAGTGTGGATATGCATTTCTAGCATACGATTAATGCATTTGGTTGCTTTTTTCTTGATATACTGTTGACATGCTGTTAATATAATGCATTGTTTGCATTCTTAAGTTTATGGCTTCATGCATTGTTGGCATGATCTAAAGTTAACAAGCTATGAAAAACGATAGATTCTTGTCAAAGAAACTAAGCTTTACACTCATCATAGCACACGTGGTGCTGATGATGTGACGATAAAAGTGATTTGATTTGATAAAAGAAACTTGTGTGCACTTTAAATGTACTTTATTAGTTTTATTTGTTTCATTCATTAATAAATATCATAAATATCATATATATATATATATATATATAGTGAAATTAAGTCTTATTTTATGTTACAGAACCCAACATTTGTGTCTAGGAATAATAAAGACTTTTATTTTCTGTCATTTATGTAATATGTTATTAGGACTTCTAATTTTTACTGCCTAAAAAGTGCTACGGCTTTTTTTTTTTATTTGAGGCAATGTTTCTTACAATATTGTGCATTGATTTGCTAAATAATGCCACAAATTTTAAGAAAAGTCATAGCATTTTTAGGCAGTAAAAATGAGAAGAAATTCCTGCAAAATCCTGCAGGGATTAATTAATGTAAAAGTATTACTTGCTGGCATTTGAAGACCACCAAACAAGTGGTTTTATTTGTTTGTTGGTTTGATAAGGATACATTATACATGTATTTATTTTTGTAATTATTTTTATTACTTTTTTTTTCAAAAGGGATATTTCACCCAAAACATCTTAAAACTTACTCTTTATTTACACATCATCTTCAAGTGGTTCCAAATCTTTATGAATCTTTGAATCTTCTGTTTATCACTGAACATATATACATTTTTAAGAAATCTGAAAACATGTAATCTTTGACTTCCACAGAAGGAAAAACAGATATTTTTTTTCTTTTACTTACCAAAATATCTTTTTAAATATTTACAATGTTTTAAAACAAGTAAAAGGTGAGTAAATAATGACTGATTTTATGGTTGAACTACACTTTAAAAAATGATGGGTCCCACACAATTACTCAATGTATTCCCCAAACAAATTCATGAAGTTAACTTAATGTTTTTTTTTTTTTAAGTGTAATTTAATAGGTATAAGTTAACTTAATGTAATTTTAAGTGGATCAACATACAAGAAGAATTGTGTAGTTTCAATACACCATTACATAAGTAGTTTGAACAAGCAGCAAAAGTATTTTTGATTGCATTCTTTTTTAAGTAGAGTGTAATTGGATAGATTTACCAATCAAGTTATACTTTAATTTGTAGGACACCAGGATTTCAAAAAACAACAACCGGTGTTGTATCATAGTATGTTTTAATTTCTGCAGAGACAAAAATGACAAGCAATTTATTTACAGAAATACCTGTACAAAAGCCAAAACAAAAAGGAAAAAGAGAAGTAAAATAGATCATAAATAGAGGTGGGCTTGCGCTCAGTACATTTACCATGTTCAGCTAAGCTGCGTGCATAGTGACTCCTAATAAAACAATGATTAAAATCGATCCTCAATTCTACATCAACATCCAAGTCAAAGGACAAATAGAGTATGATTAAAGTTACAATTTCCTTTTTTTAGAATCTGTGATGTGTCCTATGACCTAAGCGCTACAACTTAAGTCTTATATCTTCTAAGTTGAAAGCTTAAAGAACACACACCTCAGAATGCAAAGAACGATTAAGCAAATGCATTTTCATTACATCGACAACAAAGTCAGTGTCATGTCCTTCAGGAGATAAGGTGCTGTTTTTCTGACATGGAAAGTAGGTGTTGGTGTCAATCTCTTCAGTTTCATTTTTAGAGATAGAAATTCCTACTTTAGATGATATGTCTACTCTATAGTTCTCTGAGGTGTGTGTTCTCTTCATGAACCTTTGGATATTTGTTTATGTTACTTTCTCGCATCATGAAAACCACAGAATATCTGAAAGAGAGTTTTCTTCATCTCTGATGGACATGCTTTGCTTTCCTTTGCGTTGTTTCTGTGCCACCATTGCAGGATTGTGTAAATTCACTTCAAAACAGATATGCTTTTAGTATGTAGATATTATTATTTTTTGTCATGTTTCTAGTTCAAATATGGTAAATATTGTAAAAATCTTCAATTAAAAAGCATTTTGTAGACATCTAAAAAAATATAGTTTTGTTTTCAGAAATAATAATTCATAATTAAGTGAGTTTTTCTTTAAGTGAAGTTTATTTATATAGGATCACATGCTTGTGATTGACCAAGGCTGATCCATCATTAACCATCACATGATTCTCCAATCAGATGTTTCCTAAGTTACTATAAATAATCATAGTCTTCCTAGAACAGTCATCTTCATCTTAAAGAATCCCCATTTTTCTTAGAGTGGGTGCCAAAGTAGCTCAGTGGTTAGCACTGTTGTTTCACAGCAAGAACATCACTGGTTGTAATCTTTACTAGACCAGTCGATGTTTCTATGCGGAGTTTACATGTTCTCTCCATGCATACGTGGGTTTCGCCTGGGTTCCCTGGTTTCCTCCCACCGACCAAAGACATGCGTCTTAAGAAAATTGACTAAACCAAATTGTCACCATATTCAAGTTCTTAGCCAACAGCATTTATCCCTCATAATACAATTCATCATTAGCCAGATATAAGATGGGGAGTTCTAGAGATCTACCTGAACACAATCTCCCCTCTTGCCCTACAAATGGGAGAGAACCCAGGGCTTACTTTACTCTAGAAAAGTAAAATAAGTAACATTGTTTTACTTTCCCCACTGGCAAATAATGATTATATATATATATATATATATATATATATATATATATATATATATATAAATCTCACTTAATTGTTACTTATATTTTCTAGAAAACAAAGCTATATTTTTACTTGTCAAGAAAATGGCTGTAAACTTTTAGTATTTTTAAATAATCTGACTACAGGTGGGACAAAAAAAATCTAATTTTGCATTGTACCAAACCTTTCTGAACTGTTACACGACATACAGGTATCCTTACCATTAAAAAACTGCAGTTTGGACATGTGACCATGCTTACTTTGAAATGGATGGATATACCAGGGTATCACCTATGACATGTACAGTTGGTACTCATCAATATACTTGACAAAGTTCGACTGAGCTTACTTAAAGAAGCCACAAGATAAAAGCTTTTGTTATTTGAAAGTCTATCATAGTAAAATTGCCAGGACTGTAGTTTCAGCATAAAGTACTCTTCCTCCACTTTTAGAAAGCTTCTCGGTACAATTGGTTTCATACTGGTTAAAACCAACGAGTCATACCAATAAAGGTATAAAAAGGCACAGTTGCATGTTTTGCATTCACTCTATAGTTTTGATTTTTCTTTTAATTTTTTATTTATTTTTTTTATTTGTTTATTTTTTACAGAAGCACTACATATACAAAGTGGCACTGAGAAGGAAGGGGAAAGATATGACTGATGAGATCTGAAGAGGGCATCATTATGAGCGTATATTTGGAAAACAAACCTATCTGCAAGTCGCGAGGTACGCAAGACTCCTTTTGAATTGTTTTAGAATCAAGTTTCCTCATTTTCTACATAATCAAAGGTACAGTTTTCTGTGAGAAAGACTATAAACAGTACAAAAGCATGGGGTAAAAAAGTACCTTCGCAATTAAAAAGAAAATATAAATAAATCTGATAAATAAGCAACGGATGATATAATGCTAAATGAATCAGTGAGTCGCGAGTGTGTGTGATTCTTTTTCATCCTCGTCAAATCAATATACATAGTCATACTACAATGTCTAGTGTCTGTTTGTAACAAACGCAAGCAGTGGACTTCCATGTTCACAGGGTATGATATTTGTACACTTTTTTTTTTCTTCTTCTTCATAGTAAGTGTAGATTCCCTTTAAACGTGCAATAAAAAGTACATATCTATGTATACAGTTTGTAAGCATCAGAGCACTTCTTTTAAACACGAGTAGTACATACAGACTACAGATCTGGAAGCTGCGAAAAAAGGCAGTCCATTCAAACTCAAGGAATCGTTAACATACAAAAAAATAAACAAAACTACTCAATTGCATTTGAATAATTTACCACCGTTTGTAAAAGCGTGATGACTCCTACTGTAAGTTTACTCCTTGATTTGGGATAGGCCCAAGATGCATGTGTTAGTGTGCATGTGGATTCCACACATGCCACCGAATCGTACGTGAAGGTAATTAAAGCAACATGTGACCTAAAAAAAAGGAGCTTTCCTGTCCCAGTTCTTTGAGACATCATGTCACGTTGTTCCCGATACTTTGGTAATACAGCGGCATTGTGTGTCACATCGGAATCGCTCCTGTCGTGCTGGTAGTCGCCGAACTTTGAATGTGATTGTACAAGTATTCGGTTGACTCTGACTGCTACACGAGGGACACGAGTTCTCATCCTTGATTACTCTTCTGAAGCGTGTGAGATTGAATCTGTTGAATGAGTTTATTGCTCTATTTAACATTCATACTAGGAATGTTACACAGGGCCAGCCCAAGCTCTTCAGCGGGGCGATATTATTAGACTAATTCACCCCAGCAGCATATCCAAATAGTGTTCCTGTGGCTTTATGGGATAATTATAATGTGTATATACAACGCGAGGGGATCTATTTTGTTTGTGTGTGTGTGTGTTTTACTGTTTCAGACCACAAAATAAGCATAGTTTCACACATTTAGAGAAGGATAAGCCACATTTGCACAAACCCATGGCATATAACTGATAATCTCCAGCATGTTCAGAACCTCCATCTACTTCCACGGGTGTATGGGAGCGGGATGGATACGGGATTTTGATGTATGTGTCAAGAGTATGTTTACAGTATTTATATTATATATATATTTATACATGTACAATACTTCACCCACACGACAAAAAAACGTGCATTAGTGGATCTGTGTATGCTTGTGTTCCTTCACGGGTATAAGTGAGGTTGATAGGCACACAGGTAAACTTGCTTCTCGCACTGTGAGTTCATCGTTTACAGCGCGTACGCTGTTCACTTGCGCCATTTTTGTATCTACAAACCCTTGTAAAAGGCTAAAGTTAATGACGACATACAGTAACAAGCACTCTGACATCATCAATGATGAATTTGTTGTCCATCGTTAGCCAGTCATCTTCTTTGTTAATGTGATTGGTCGTCCAGAGAGGACAGTTCAGTCTTTTGACTGATTGCATATGGACAGAATACATCCACATAAAAAAAAAAAAAAAAACGATTAAAAGACAGAACATCTTCTCGGTTCCCATAGCAACAGTTATAAAACTAAAGACAAAAAGCTATAGTCCATCAGATCCATCTCAAGGGGCACACACACTCTTAAGGGGCTAGATGATGCATGCATGTTTATAAAGAGGTCTAGAGAAACCAGGCAGCACTTTGGGGAAGTCTACAGGGCCCGATACGCTAGCAGCAAAAGTAGCACTGATCCACCAGCTTTCCCCTCTCTCCACCTCGGCCACTTCCCCCTTCCTCCAACTCATCCTTTGCGCGCACACACATCTAACAACATGTTATTCCATGGTTTCTACTCGATTTCAGTTTTGTTGCGCAAGCAGTTTTAGGAAAATCCATGTCGCTTTTTTAGTCTTAGGGTTTGGTTTGCTAACAGCATCTCTGACCATGCTGAGTCACTGTCATCGTCCCGTCGTATAGTCGGTGTGTGTCGTTTACAGGTAAACTTCCCGCCTGGTCAGAGTTCCGCATTGCGTCGGCTTGTATTCACCCGTAGGCGCTAGCGGGATCTCCTCAGTTGGGCGAGATGTTTCCTCGCTGGCGGAAAATCCAGCAGAACTAAACGCGTCGTAGGATGAGGAGGAGGATGCCATCTTCTTGTTCAGGAGATTACGGTTACGGTCGCCCAGCAGATGTGAGGGGTCACCGTTGGCAACAGCTAGTGTCTCCTGGCTGCCAGGCTGGTCAGCAATGCTGCCTCCGGGGGAGGTCATGAAGGTGGAGAGTTTGGGAGGGGTGGCCTTGGGCCTGCGTTCAGGCGAGGTGCGCACAGGCATCCAGCAGGCATCCGAGTGGCCGTATTCGTCACACTCCCGCGTGCATTTGCCCGTCATAGCTACGTCAGGCAGGGGCCGAGAGTCTGGGGGAAACAGAGAGAAGGAAGCAGGACTGTTAGTCATGCTGATTAATTTTAAACAGCTGGAGAAAACAAAACACTCAAGTACTGACACTAAAAAAAAAAAAAAAAATATTGTGGTATGTGTCTCATGAAACTGCCTGTGATATTATTGAGGGCCAGATGAGATCTTTAATTGTTATGACCAGCTTTGTGCGTTTCTTTTTTTTTTTTTTTTATGACTGTAAGTTCATGCTTGACACATACCACGTTACACAGAAATGGAAACGTACAAACACAAACAACAACACTTAAAGCTAAAACATAAATTAAACAAAAGGATAAATAATGTGAGCTCTAAAAAGAATACCATGCTTTGAAAACGAGGGGCAATTCTACTGTTTTGTGACTTTTGCTTTCTAACTAATGGCCTGAATCCATCTCTAATGGCTGTTTGTGTGTGCATCTGGTGTGTTTATATGTGAGAGTTGTGTATATGCTGTGTATTTTTTATTTATTTATTTTTTTGGCTAACTACACAGAAGCTATTAAATTTTAGAAAGGATGTACAGAAAAAAAAATTTAAATAAAATAAAAACTTTTTTTCTTGAATAATCCCCTCTTTGGCTTGAGGAAACACCTACAATGTACTTAAAGAACAACATATTGGAGGATTTGCCAGTTAACTGTACATCTATGAAACATAGGTTAAGTTTAAAGGATTACGTAAACGTTTTCTAAAGGCTCTAACTGTCACGCATCTGAGTGATTGCTTGTTTTCCCAGGCTGGGAGAGGAGATCAGTTTTAGATTCACAGCCACGAGTTTCCTTAACATCTCATATCTCTTCTATTCAGATTGTCGACTGAACAAATACTTTCTGTTTACACTTTTAAGCACTCGACAAGCAAACATATAACCATCAGATGCGCAAAAAAAGTCTATGCACAAACACGGCTGAATATGAAGTTCGCTAAGCTGAAGTGCACACAAATACTAAACGCTGAAATCCCTAAACTTTGATGCTAAAGCACAAAGCTGCAGTGTTAGAGATGGTCGGTTAATGACCACATGTGAGGTATGGCACAAGCAAGAGAGGGTGAGTGCAAATCTAAAAACAAAATAATAATAATAATAATAATAAAAATAGAAAGCATGCTGCCTTTTGTTGGAAAGCAAAAATTTAGGTTAATCATGGCTTACTTTTAATGTTCTTTTTCTCCTGCAAAGAAAGAATAGGATATAATCACTGTTCGGTTTCTTCACAGTGTAATGTTATGTAAGACTAATCAATTTAGGAAGAAAAAAAATAGTATTAGACAAGAACAAAACAAAAAAGCATAATGTGCTGCAGTTATCTGAGAATCAATTAATTACATGGTATGTTTGCAAAACAAGTCAGTTCTACAAAGCCCATACTCATTAAGAATTAGAATTTTGTTTGTATTTGTTTACAAGCTAGCAAAACAATTATAAAAATGCATCTGTCACGCAACGAAACATACAATGTATTGTAATGACAGTTAAATCCACATTCATAATAATGGTATTAATATTTATTTATTTATATACATTTTTTTTAAATATACATGCTTATAACATGTTATATACTGACTTATAAATATAAATTAGTCGGTCTAATTCAGGGGTGCCCAAACTTTTTCGAATGAAGGGGCAAAAACCAAATATCATCATTATTTGTGGACCACAGATGAATATACCAAACTATTTTACATTGAAATTGCCATGCTAACTTCCTAATTTTTAGGAAGTTATGAACAAATAAATATGAAAAAATAAATAAATAAATAAATGGAAAACATTACTGTGAATCTTATTAACTAATGCAGTATAACTTTTTGGTGATAACTGCAATACAAACATAATCAATCACATTAATAACACATGGTATTCGAATGCTGAATACACTAGTCAAGCAGAAGTTGCCTTTGCCTTGATTTGCTCTCCAAAGTCTCTGCATTGTCTGCAATGCATCATTTGTACATTTAAAACTAAATCTAATTTAATTTACACCATTTACATTGAAAAAATTCATTTCAAATAGCTTTTTTTTAGCATAACAATAAAACAAACAAATAAAAGCTCCTGTTAAATTTCAAATGACAATCTCTAAACCATTTTCAGATAGCACTGTGGGCTAAATCAAAGGTTACCATGGGACAACTTTAGAGCCTAGTATGGGCATCTCTGGTCTAATTTGATAGAACTGAATATGTTAATGAGTTTTTGTAACTATAACGCAACACCATCTTAACACTGCTGATTGGATCTTTTGAAACACATTAATGATGGGCAAATTATTACTTATAATGAACTTATTTTGTGTGTGTAACATGGGTAACACTTTATAACTACACAATGAATAGTCTATTAAGCATTAGCAAATAGTGAATTCATTATCTGTTAAGCATTAACTCTACATTGATAAATGTTAGTAAGCAGTTTTTACATGCAGATGCAATGCTCGATTCTGTTCTTGACTCTATTCTTGACATGTAAAATGTGCTTAATGGTTGTATTTTCAACATTGTTATTGATTATTTTTTCATGACTAAATTAATTATTGTATGTATACTTATTATTATTTACATATTGCATTATTTACAAATCAATTGCATTTCAGACTATTTGGGGTTTTAGGATCATACAGAATTAGTTAGTAAATAATTAATAAACTAATCATCACTAATTCAAATCCGCAAACATATATATTATTATTCAGACATATATTAATAGTTTGTATTTTAATAAATGCTTTATTAACTCAACTTAATCTAATGTTATGACCTAATCTAAACGGAGGACTATTTATGCTTTATAAATCCCTAATAAATGATAATTAAAGGTTTTACATCAAATTTACAATAAATCTTATCTAAAAAGTAAAATCATTGTAAAGTTTAAACATTGCCAAATAGACCATTTAGAGGGGTGTAAACAATAACAACGGTCCCAACATATTTTCTGTTTTTTTTTTTTTTTTAATTTTTATAGAATCCAAAAAGAGCCACATGTTGATAAATAATGCTATAATCAATGTTTTACATTAAGCTAGGATTAAATTGCCTTTTGTAAGAGTTATGTAATAGTTTGATAACAAGCAAGAAATGTTCATGGGCGAATGACATGACCACATTGAAATGGATATTAACAGAAGTGTCAATTGGATAAAACAACAGCAATATAATATATTTAACAAAATAGTATGATGCAAAAGTTATTAAGCAATGTTTAAACTGCACAGTAATATTATTCTAGTTAAGATTGCAAAGATTTATTTTTCATTAAAAACGGTTTACTTTGTGTATCTTTAAATGCATAGAAATGAATAAAGTGATTTATTTTCTCTTTTTTTCTGTTTAGAATATAACTGAGCTTTTGATTGTCATTTATAAGGGATTCATAAAGCATGAGCGGTCCTCACTTTAGTTAAGTTAATAAAGCATTTATTAACATGGAAATTAACTATTAGCATATGCCTGATTAATTAGATATATACATGAATTCAATAGTTTTTAATAATTTACTTACATTCTGAATAATCTTTAAAAACCAGCTACTTTTATCAAATAACTGGTTTGTGAATGATGCAATACCTAAATTATTAATGAAAAATAATAATTAACAAAGTATGAAAATAAAGTCAAGAATAGAGCATTTGTATCAAGTGTTGTTAACTTACCGACTTTGTCGATATATTTAACGACATTTCAGACAAAAGTGCCACATCTATTGACTTTTTGTGTGTTACTGGAGATGTTTCATTGATATGCATTTATAATGTGTAGTGGTAATAGAAATACCCCTTTATTAACCATAGGCTGCTAAACAAACAGAAACGGTAAGTAATGATGTTAGTAATATGCAAGTTGACGTAATCTAGCGACATTTAACGAGAATTCCGGCAGAGCTTAGTGCCTTTTCATTGAAAAAAGTTGGCAACACTGTTTGTATCTGCAGTTGTAATCTACTAACATCTGTAAATGCGCAGTTATTGCTTAACAGATAATTAACAAGCTATTTGTTAATGCTTAATAAATGATTCATAGTAGCCTATGTAGTTATTACAAAGTGTTACCGGAACATGTATTTTGTAAAATGTAGAAATGCAGATACATGTATATGTAAATATTGATGTAACTGCTATCATAATACATTATACGTTTTGATGTGTCTTTATAGATACATATATATAAATGTCAGGCTTGATTATAAATACTTCTGAACAGAGCTATAATTCATTATGAGCATGGACTTTAAAGAAAGGGTTACTGAAGGTCTTCTACGATGCACCATACAACGATATTCATTGACAGATTAACCAAAATTGAGAGTGAGAAAAGAAACAAGCACATCTACAAACATGACGCTCGACAAATTGACATTATTAAGCCATTCAGTTTCAAGAAATCAGTGCTGTGAAAAGAATAGAGCGCTATCTTTGGCGTTCTTCAGTCACCGATAATAAATCGCTTACATTTAAACCCCCTCAGTCTTTCAATACTGTTAGTTGCCACAAACCAATATAGCATTCTTGTCTGGTTACAACCTCTCGCTGACCTTAAGCAAACCCCCAAATACATCCTTCTGACCTCAAGGCCTGTCTATAATGTCTGCAGAGCTGCTGTTAGCTTTAGCTGTGGTCAATGCGGTGTGGTTGCCTTGTGGGCATGGAAGGGTTAGTTGGGCCTGACTTAGACTCCTGACCACAGAAAGAGTTCACTGGTGCTTCCTGTGTGCTTTTTATGAGGCTGGATTACTGCCCAGTGTCTAGAGAGAGGTGTGAATGTACGTTCTCCCCACAAAGCTCTGTCATGCACCAATGAACGCCCAGTCAAGCGACGATACCTCAATAGCACTAATAACAAAGATGAGTGTAGGCTCCGATCTGCAGAACGTCGATATGCCAGGGCAATGTTAATGCTTCAGACAGGGATTACAAAATGGCTGGATAAATCTTATATGACAGTTAATGTGTTCAAAGAGGCATTAAAGACTGTAACA